AGCTGGGCGCTGCACCCATGAACCCCAATGGCCTTAATCTTAACTGTTTTTCCATCCCAACACGTCTGAGCTGAGCTTCCCTGAGAGAAGTCACGCCGCTCAAGGCTGTATGCAATTGCAGAGCAGCGTCTTAGTATCTGGCAAAGGAGCTTCTTTCTAAGGCCGGTAGTTTCCTTTTCCTGTCAAATTTCTCCCAATCAGAATCCGCACCAATGGCTTTGTGGGAAAGGATCAAATGGAGGTTTAGCTTGTAGTATTAGGGGTGGAAGGTGGGGATGGAGGTGGAACATGGGGCGGGAGCTCAGCGGTGGCTCACCTCTGCCCTCTCAGCTCCGTTCTGCTTGCAATGGGAGCTCAGTTTCTTTCCTTTTCTACATCGCTAACTAGACCGGGAAGAAGTCCTTTGTTTTAAATTAACGTTACCAAATACCAATTCAACACTATGTGCAGGGCATACTCAACACGTGGGTGTGAACCGAGACACAAATGTGCCTCTCTGCCTCTTTCTATGTCAATGCCATCTAGTCGAGGATAGTTAACTGTGAGGTGGTGAGGGGGCCACAACATTACAGAGTTTATCCCCTAGGCATGAATAAGGCGATATAAAAGACTATAAGCTTATAAGAGTCCTGGAAGGGAGAGAAGGCATTTTTTTTTCCTTTTAAATGACAACCATCCTAACCAGAATGAGGTGACATCTCACTGTTGTCTGATTGTTCAATGACTGTAGTGATGTCAAAGATCATGTGTGTCCTTACAGAAATTCCTATTCTGGTCCTTTTCCTATTTAAAATTTGAGTTGTTATTGAATTGTAGGAGTTTGCTATTTTGGATATTAGTCTCTGATCAAATGTATGATTAGAAAATGCTGTTCCTCATTCTGTAGGTTGCACTTTAATTGATTCAATTATCTAACTTCTTTGTGTATATTTTTTTGTCATAGCAACTCAAGCATAAGCAAAATAGGTATATTTTGTCTGCTTTTCTGAGTTGAATCGCCAGTGTATGTTGAAACTGGTGAGGAAAACATCATGTGATCTTGACACCAGTGAAGGTGGGCTGCCTTTAGCAGGTGGGGATAGCCGGCAGGTGCCATAAGCATGCATCTTGGAGAAGAGGTGTGGGCTTGTGGAAGCCTTGGTTTTGGGTGATATCACAGAAAAGAGGGGTCCTGCTGGGCAGCAGCCATACCTGTGATGAGCAACAGGAGGCCTGAGATCCTGCTTCTTAGACACACAGCTTTGCAGTTCATCACGCTAGGCAAGAGCTGTCTGCAGTCTCACAGGCCTGACACTTGTTATGAACCCCAGAGCATAGCTTGAGAACAGTATGGAAATCTGCAGCGGCTGTGGTCCTTGAACTTAGCCATTAACCGACTAGAGAAGATTTGATGACTCACCAGCTGACCCCTGCTGATTCTCTGGTTGACCTTTCCTGGTGTTCCAGCTTCCTCTCGAGTCATCCCTACTGAACATGCACAGAGCTTTATGATAACGATTCTTGATCAACCTCGCACAACTATTTACCCTACACTTATGTTCCATGAAGTACTAGGAGTTATGTGGGCATAATTTAAAGTACTCTAAAGACATTTGTAAGTTATAAGCAGGTACTAAGGACCCTGGGCATCCACAGCTTTTGGTACCAGCCTGGGGGGTCATAGAACCAGTCCCCTGTGGATGCCAAGGGATACTGCACTGTTCTCTAGGTTCATTCACATGATAACAAATGAAATTTTATTTTTTTAAGTCGATGTAGTATTTAACTTGTGTATATGCCACATTTTAAAGATGTATTTGCTCCTTTGTAGACGTTTAGGTTAGTTCCATTTCTTAGCTGTTGACACAGCTAAGCATTTCACAATGAGCACTTCAGTACATATGTCTCTTCCACATACTAATTTAATTTTCTCTGGATAGATGCCCAGGAGTTGGAGAGATGGATCATACTAGGTCTATTTTTAATTCTTTGATGTGGGAGATTATTGGACATGTGGCTGAGCCTGCAAGAAATGGTCCCACAGAGTAGAGGCGAAATCTGGGAAGTAGGGGCTGTAGGAAAGACCTACACCTAAAAGAGGAACAGCGGATGCTGCAGAGCCAGGTGGAGAGCTCCCACACACTGCAAACACTGTCTGGAGATATTTCTGAGGTTGGCTCTAGCTGCATTCTTCTGGAATCCTTTGTATCTTTCTCTTGTCTTCAATAAACAGCAGTGCATAGGGACACATGGAGAGCAGCTGAAATAATTCGAATACAGGCATGTGTTTAGAGACACAGTGGGCTAGGAAAAGACCTCCATGCTCCTGCACAACACACGTGTGAGCAGAGCCTGAGAAGGTGAACTGCCAAGGCCTGTTCAGAGCTGCTGCAGTATCAGGATTGAGTCCATACCTGCCTTACCACACGGTCTCTGATGATTGCAGGGTGGCACCTGAGTTCAACCTCCTTTTACCTGAAGTAGGCCGGTGTTATTCTAGAAAGCAAGCACTGGAACACATCAGTCTTCTTTCTTTCCTCTCTCCCCCTGTGTGTGCATGCACACATGTGCATGTATGAATGTATATACATGAATGAATGCAGGCAAACATTCACCTTATGCGTGGAGGTCTGAGGACCATTTCAGGTGTTGTTCTCAAGTTCCACCTTGAGGCAGGATCTCTTTGTTAGCTGCTGTGTTTACCAGGCTAGTTGGCCTGAGAGCTTTCAGGATTTTCCTGTCTTCCTTAGAAGCACTGGAATTACAGTTGAGTGCTAACCCTGCATTGCATGCGTCCTGGGAATCAAATCCAGGTCTTCATGCTTGCACAACAAGCTCTTTACTTGCTGAGCCATCTCTCTAGCCCGTCTCTGTCCTCTTATTTGGCACACACTCTTGAGTTTCTTAAAATTTAGGTGAGATTTACGAGATATGATGAACCATCTTCATGTGAGAAGTTGAGGGACACTTGGCACATTTCTTATGTTGTGACCATCACCTGTGCCTTCTTCCGTGAACACATAAGGAAGTTCTATACTGTTAATTCTCTCCTCTTTCAGCTCCTGTATCTACTGTCTGATTGTGCCTGTTCTCGACACCGAGGTTCATTCATGTTGTAGCATGAATCGGCGCTTCATTCTCTTTCATTGACTAATAGTCCATTATGAGGACAAACCAGTTTTATGAACCTATTCGTCAGCTGATGGATATTTGGGTTAGTTACCTCTTTTAGATTGTATAAATGATACTGCTGCTGCATCTGTGTAGCTTCTGTTAGATGCATATTCTAATTTTACTGTATATATACCTAGGCATGGTATATATACCATGGTGATGAATCCAGTGAACATGCTCTTTTCATGGTAACTTCTATTGGTACTTTACATTTCTGGAAATGGTAGTGCAAATGACCAGATCTTAGGTCAGAGCTGTTTCAGTGCAACTTTTTGTAATATTATAAACACATTCAGAATCTGTGAGCTCTAGTTACTCATGGGCCACATAACCCTGAACAGTAGACAAGCTACATCTTTATATTACATTTCAACTAATGGAAAATTAAATATTCCTTTTGGGTGGTGGTTGTGCATTTCACAGGTGCCTTAGAGGTGGGAGATGAGAAGCTATCCCAGTACACCTCCCTCCACAATGCCTCCATAACACCATTAAACAGTAACACCCAACCCCTAAAAATAACTGTCATTCAAGAGATTAAGGAACTGCAATGATCCATGAATACATACAAACTAAAGCTAGAACTGCGAGATTCTCTCTAAAAACATAAAAGGGAAGATCTCAAGGTCCAACCCCTGGGCTTTGTTTTACTGAAACCACCCATTAGCAGACTGTAATCTACATGCAGTTTTTGTGTCTATTGTGTGGTTGAGACTCACAGTTAAGGAAACTGCTTATTCTTAGGCAAATAGGTTTTTGAGACATTTGATATTTTATAAACAGATTTGCAATTACAGACGGGTCTGGAAGCACAGGCTTGAATAGACCCAGATTTAGTAGGGTATATATAATTTATATAATAAACATTATATAATTGTCTTGCTGTCCTATATTGTTAAAACTTAAAAAGAGAATAGCAGTTAACAAGAAAGAGGGGCACGCTTGATTCATTTTAAAGGATTATCGAAATTCATTTAATCCTCCAACTCTCCCTTTTCCACTGGTGGCGATTAACTTGCCTGTTTCTGATTTTATCTGGAACTCTCCATATTGCCCGTGAAAGTCATAATCCTCTCTAAACTCACATTTTACTTCTGTGATGCTAATACTTTCCTTTAAACTTTTATTAGAGGACGTTGCTGTACTCTCAAACCTAGTTCTACCCAAACAACAAATTATTTTGTTCAAGGTTAAGCTACTTAAGTGGATTCGATTGTGTGACCAATTCCAAACGTCTGCTGGACCACCATGCCCATCTGTAATCCCATAACTATAAGCAGGCTGAGACAGCACTGCCCTAAGTCGCTCCCTGTGCCCCACAAAACTTCTGGTTGTTCTCTTTACAAAAAAAAAAAAAAAAAAAAAAAAAAAAAAAAAAAAGCAAAAATTCCGTAAGCAAAATTTCAATGCTTAATCTCCCTCACCTTTAGAAATCCCAGTGTGATTTAGATCCTAACTCGAATAGACTTACGTTTTGGTAGAACTCTAAGCATTTCACTTCAGTTTCAGTAGAAACAACCAGCTCATCTACCTATCAGAGCCTAATGCTAACTCCTACAGAACCGAGTACTCCCCTACGGTACAAACACCGAGTGTCTTAACACTGGAGAATCGTAGGGACAAACCAGAGTACCCCTAAACAGACCATAGGCTAACTGCAGATGGAAGCCGTTGGCCTCAGCCATGAACGCTCTAGGCGCCGCGCGCGGATGCGAGGAAGAAATCCAGAGACCAAACCCTAGCTAGTACCTGTCAGCGACAGGCTCAGTGTACAGTTCTTTTGAAGGTGTGGGTGGCTCTGAAAAGAGCCTTTGGTGTGTTAAGTAGCACTAGCGACCAGTAGGGCCTCACTTGCCCTTGGCCTTATGGTGGCTTTCGGTCTTCTTGGGCAGCAGCACCGCCTGGATGTTGGGCAGGACGCCGCCCTGTGCGATGGTCACGCGGCCCAGCAGCTTGTTGAGCTCCTCGTCGTTGCGGATGGCCAACTGAAGGTGGCGCGGGATGATTCGTGTCTTCTTGTTGTCGCGGGCCGCGTTGCCAGCCAGCTCCAGGATCTCGGCCGTCAGGTACTCCAGCACGGCCGCCAGGTACACCGGGGCGCCGGCGCCCACCCGCTCCGAGTAGTTGCCCTTGCGGAGCAGGCGGTGCACACGACCCACCGCCAGCAAGCCCTTATATATGATCAGGAGGAAGGCTAGACTGCACCTTTCTATTGGGTGGTAGCACTAGCCAATCAGAAGAAGAACCCCGCACCTCCTAATTTGCATAAACCTTGCTCTCCCCCCGATGACGTAATGTGCAATTGTATTCAATCAAAAGCGAGCCATAGCTGATCCTTCATTTGAATACGAGGCGTACAAATAGAGTTGGTACGTCGG